CATCTCGGAAACGATAAGACCGGTCAAAGATACGTCACATATCAAATCGGGAAAACCAAAGGCGATATTAGTTTCACCTATTCGTTCACAGGTCCGGTGGGGGTCCCGACCGGTGGCGGCTGCTCACGGTACGCAGCTCAAGTGCCGGTGCGTCCTGTATCGACCTACCGACCTGTTTTGAACGGACCTGTGTTGAGTCAGTTGAACGGACCCGTGTTGAGTCAGTTGAACGGACCCGTGTTGAGTCAGTTGCTACCAAGTGTTGGATCGTTTAGTTACAACCACGTTCCTTCTCAGCCACCGATTTATCCACCACTTGCTCAACCGGAGATTCTTCCACCGGCATGCTTCCCCGGAGTGTATCCGCCTCATGGCTATCCGATGAGTAACATGCCGGGAAGTCCACCCACAATGTATCAATCTATATTTCCTGGCTTACCATGTCCACCGGAAGGTTATTCTACGGTGGCTCCGCCGCTGACACTACCGGGACTATATCCACCGATGAGTCCTTACAGATTTTGATTAAATGTCAACGTCTCCAAGCCTAGTCGTCGGTGAGGAGATTTGTAGATTCTATTTAACTAATAATGATGTCATCATTTCCCCCAACTTGTGTTTTTTTTTCTTTTCACTATCTCTTTATGTTGTTGTGTGTGTTTTGCAAATAACCCTAAAAATAAACATGAATCTTTTACGAAATTACACCTTTGTTTTATTTTATTTTCAATTTTATAAAAAAAATTCAATATATTTTATAACCTAATGTAATAGTATTGGGTCTATGATATTTATATCAGGAGTTAATATGAATCGTAAAGCAAAGAATCTAAATTTAAAATTTGTCTTTATCATAAAAATGAAAAAAAAAAATGTGGTGTTATTCACAAAAAAAAAGGATTCAGTTAAAAATTCCAGTAATATTTGATTTTATCCTCTCTTTTTTTTTTTTGTTAAATAAAAAAGTCGAGTAGCCGCCTGAAAGATATGACGGCAACAAGCAAAGCACGAAGTCATCTTCTTCTTCCTATTTCTCTATTCCTCCTTCTCCACGCTTCTTCTTCTTCCTCAATCTCTCTTACGATTCCTTCGAATTCCTTCTTCCATGGCCACCGTCTCTTCTTCCTCCTGGCCAAACCCCAACCCTAATCCCAATCCCACGTCTGCCTCAGATTCCGATTCTACTTTCCCCTCTCACCGCGATCGCGGAGACGAAACCGACTCTCTCGATTCCTTCTCCTCCATGAGTCTCAACTCCGACGAGCCTAATCAGAACTCTAATCGGGACGTTAATATTAATCAATCGCCTATTTCTCCCCCTACGCCCAATTTACCGGTGACGCCTCCTCCGTCCGTGCTTCATCTTTCCTTTAACCAGGACCATGCTTGCTTCGCTGTCGGCACTGATCGTGGCTTCCGGATCCTTAATTGCGATCCGTTTCGCGAGATTTTCCGGCGAGATTTCGATCGTGGCGGTGGTGTTGCTGTGGTGGAGATGCTTTTCAGATGCAATATATTAGCCCTAGTTGGTGGTGGACCTGATCCTCAATATCCTCCTAATAAGGTCATGATTTGGGATGATCACCAGGGCCGATGTATCGGAGAGCTCTCTTTCAGGTCCGATGTTAGATCGGTCAGGCTTAGGAGGGATCGGATTATTGTGGTTCTGGAGCAGAAGATTTTTGTGTACAATTTCTCGGACCTCAAGCTGATGCATCAGATTGAGACCATTGCGAACCCTAAGGGTTTGTGTGCTGTTTCTCAGGGTGTTGGTTCTATGGTATTGGTATGTCCAGGTTTGCAGAAAGGTCAAGTTCGAATCGAGCACTACGCTTCTAAACGGACCAAATTCGTCATGGCTCATGATTCGAGAATAGCTTGCTTCGCTCTCACGCAGGATGGGCATTTGTTGGCAACAGCTAGCTCTAAGGGTACTCTGGTTCGGGTCTTCAATACTGTTGATGGAACCTTGCGCCAAGAGGTACGCTTTTAATTCACAGAATGCTGCTGTATACTTCTATTGATGTAAGAATGCTGGCAAATTTGGTTGATTAGTCACTAACTTGTAGTTTCTGGTTCTGAGAATGAACTAGGTAAAGAAAGTAGGACTGCATTGTTATGATCTCATTTCATATATTTCTATTATTAGCTTAGAGATTCAGAAAAGTACGTTTTTATATCCTCGGTGACTGCTTTGAGCTGATTTGCTTGCTGTTTTTGGATGTGTGTGATAGAGGCCGATAGTTTTGAGCCTGTGTACAATCAATTTAGTGTTTTCATCTCTGTCAATTTACTTCGTTTCACCTTAAATCTCTAGTTCTTAGATGTTGAAAAAATCTATAGTTCTTAGATGTTGAAAAGGATGCATCTTTTGCTTACTGAGGTAAACCTGGTAATATTTTGAAAACTTTACCTTGTTTTTGATGAATCCATCAGCAAGAGCAATGGTTATTACAAAGCACACGGTGATTTCTCTTACAGCTTCACTGAGTCTTGTTTCTTTTCATTAGTCACTGACTTGAGTCCTTTCTTCATCGGTTCCTCCGTAGAAAAAGTTTCAAGTATCTATCTTATCATCTTTATAATGATGTCAGCATCACTCATCATGTATAAGCTATGAAATTTTGTGATTTTAATATTTAGGAAATCTCAAATGTATCTGTGATCCTTATAATAATACCGTATGAGTTTGGAATCCATGGCACAATAATCCCACCATGATGTGACTCTACAGGTTAGGAGGGGTGCGGATAGAGCGGAGATCTACAGTTTGGCCTTCTCTTCAAATGCTCAGTGGTTAGCTGTCTCAAGTGACAAAGGAACGGTCCATGTCTTTGGTCTCAAAGTCAACTCCGGATCTCAAGTGAAAGACTCATCCCGAATTGCACCTGATGCTACTCCCTCATCCCCATCGTCGTCTCTGTCTTTATTCAAAGGTAAATGCTCAAAACCAAAAATCAGTTACTTTTACAACTTAGCAGCATATTTGATCAGAAAACTCCCCTCATAAAGCTCCCATTGACATAATTAAGCACATGACTCTTTTACTTTATTTAGGAGTGTTACCAAAGTATTTCAGCTCGGAATGGTCGGTGGCTCAGTTCAGGTTGGTTGAAGGAACTCAGTACATAGCCGCCTTTGGCCATCAAAAGAACACCGTTGTTATTCTTGGCATGGATGGGAGGTTAGCAAACATAATTCCATTGACAAACTTTAATCACGAAATTGCATTTGAGAAGCTGATAAAGCACTTGAATTCTTGATGATTTGTTCTGTTCATGGCATATTCGATTCGATTTGACCGTAGTTGGTATAACCTCCTTTGATGTTCTTAAACAGCTTCTACAGATGCCAGTTTGATCCGGTGAACGGCGGAGAAATGTCTCAGCTTGAGTACCACAACTGTCTGAAACCGCCTTCAGTTTTCTAAAAGCTACGTACTTATTCTCTTTTGTTCCTTCTCTCTCTCTCTCTCTCTCTGCTACTTAAGCGGTGAGATTTGATGCAATGTATAGTTGTGTATATAATAATGGGTCGTTCTATAATTTGTAAAAACCTTCGATCGCTAACCAAAAATGATTCACGGCTCATCAATTTGTGTCTTCCCAAACATTTCACTAAACCACTTGGTTGTGTGTAAACGATCAGTGTTTGGATATACAGATCAATCAACTTTTTCCGTTTGATTGGCCACGTGTACTGAATGCCTCGTGCACGCAAATTAATTAGATACTAACGGTGGCAGGTGAATTTCGTAAACCGAGTTTCGAGGCACGAGAAAAAGGAATCCTATTTCAAACCCATCAATTTAGGCGACCTCAAAATAACCAACTTCTGAAATAATGTGTATAAAATTGGAAAGATTCGAGTACTTAACGTAATCTAATGTTATATTCGATTTATATCTTATACATGGTTATTAAAAGTCCAAGAAACAGGACCACGTACATACTGGCTAGGTTTTACGAAATTCAAAGCATAGGTCATATATATAGAGAAGCAAATGAATCCACAGTTGTGACTTGTGATCTCCCTCACTCTTTCTTCCGAGTTACGAGTTAGTGTGACTCGGTCTTTGATAAAAAAAGAACCAAAAAATAAGAATGGCGATGAAGGTATATGGAGATGAGATGTCAGCGTCCGTGGCACGTGTTCTTCTCTGCCTCCATGAGAAGAACACCGAGTTCGAGCTTGTCCCTGTCAATCTCTTTGCTTGCCACCACAAGCTCCCTTCTTTTCTCTCAATGAACGTACGAATCTTTCTGAACATATTACTATCATGCGCATATATCTATGTATGAAAGTATCTAACCATATATGTTCTGTTCGATGCAGCCCTTTGGCCAAGTTCCAGCTCTGCAAGACGACGATCTTACCCTTTTTGGTTCGTATAACTATCATAAATTTATTTTACATAATGATTTAGTTTAGTTTAACAATATTTATCTATCAAAACAGAGTCGAGGGCAATCACTGCATATATAGCAGAGAAGCATAGAGACAAAGGAACGGATTTGACAAGACACGAAAACTCTAAAGAAGCAGCGATTGTGAAGTTATGGTCGGAAGTGGAGGCTCACCACTTCAACCCGGCGATATTCGCTGTCATCCACCAGCTCATCGTCGTGCCGCTTCAAGGCGAATCTCCTGATGCAGCCATCGTAGAGAAGAATCTGGAGAAGCTAGGGAAAGTGCTCGACGTGTACGAAGAGAGACTTGGGAAGACAAAATACTTAGCCGGAGATACTTACACACTAGCAGATCTCCACCACGTTCCGTACACTTACTACTTCATGAAGACGAGTCATGCCGGTTTGATCAACGACCGTCCTAATGTCAAGGCGTGGTGGGAAGATCTATGTTCTCGTCCGGCTTTCCTTAAAGTCTCTCCTGGCTTGACCGTTACTCCCACCACAAATTGATCCAAAGATTCTCACTGCGTCTTTTTTGTTTTCTATGATATCAAGTTTTTGTTTCGTTTTGGGTGTTGTTTTTGCGTTTGCGCATCCAGAGAATCGAACCCTGATTAGAACTGTGGGAGGGTGCTATGATACCATTACACCAGATGCGCTTTTGTGATGCGAGGCCCAAAATATTATTCTTTCCATGGACGTTAAATTTTGAGGCATTTGAGCTTGTGTGTCTGTCTCTGACTCTCTGCCTTTGTGACTTTTGTGATTGTGTATGAGTGTTGTTTTTTTTGTTTTTTACTAATCATCCAGAATCCATGCGACTCATTTTGATCTCACAAGACACATCATTATTCATATGCAAATCCCTGAGGTTTTTTTTTTATCATAGAATAGACGAAATCAAACCAAACCAGGATCCTTTATTTTAAGAACATTACAGTGAAGACGAGCCTGCAGAGAAGTTGCTCTGCAACTGAGTAATATCTTGAGAAGCAACATCGATTGTACCATTAAGAAAACCAGTGTACCAAGAAGCAGAGAGTTTCGGCGACCTCTTGCGACAAGGATCGCTGAAATTCACATAGTACATTCCGAAGCTGGTTGTATATCCAACCGTTATCTCATACAAATCTATCAGCGACCATACGAAGTAACCTCTCATATCCGATCCATTCCTGATCAGTCAAAGATTTGTCATAAAGAGAGAGAGTCGAGTTAACCGGAACTAAACCAATGAATCCTAAAGTCGTTATATATTAATATGAGGACTAAAATTTGAAGAAGGATGATCATACTTGATGGCGTTGAGCACTGCACCAATGTAAGCTTGAATGTATTCAACTCTTGGTCTGTCTTGTAGCATCGAATCGTGTTTCATCGGTGTACCTGTTTTTTTTTTGGTGCGATTTGAAGAATCTTGAGAACAAAAAGGTGTGGTTTCAAAAAGACAAAAACAGAGCAAGAAGACAAAATAGAATGAAGTGTACCGTTTTCAAGAATGTAGATTGGAGGATTGTTATAGCTCTGCTTTAGATGCTCAAGAATACCTTCCAGACCCCATGGAATGGCATCAAACTTCAAGAAAGCAATTGGGTAAGGAAAATCTCCACATTCAAGAAGATCAAACAAGAGCTTTTGGCATAAATACATATGTGTGTTCTGCAGATTTGCAGGACCTTACCTCGAATGATGAAGAATTCCCAGCGGCTGTCCAAAGAAGAAGACTTCTAAATTGAAGAGAGTTTCAAAAGAAAAAAATATTGAATAATGATGAAAATAAACTTGGCATACAGATAATATACGCGCCCATGTCTGTAAAGAAGCCTTTGTTAGTGCTACTGGGAAATATATAAGGTGCGGGTCGGTTTGTGACATAGACTGTCGTGTAGTGAATAATTCCTACAAAGTCAGATGATCCTTTAACTTTCTCTGACTCTTCCTTTGAGAAAACCGGTAATCTCGATCCCAAGGTTCTCTTCATTTCATCCGGATAGTCTCCATATACCAAAGGCTTCAACATCCTGAATTATCAATATAGTCTTCAGATTTACCCCTCAAGTTATTGAAACAAAGAAATAAAGTTTCTTTTTCTCACCAGCCATAGAGGAAAGCTTTAGCTCTTTGAGTTGCGATTTCATCATCCTTGGAGTTTGTATAAGGAGATAACCCCAATGAAAATATACTAAGGCCTAGGGATCCTCTTTGCTTACTCTGCACCATGGATTACGTTCATTCTGGTTGAGAGTTTTAAGAGCGAAAAAGAGATAAATATGTATACCTTGTACTTTAGTTTATACAAACTTGAGGCAGAGGCATGAGCTAGCAACATGTTATGGCCTGCAATATATGTTTCCATACAAGAATTTCCGGTAGAGCAATTGATGTATTTGGTAGGAGAACAATGTCCAAACTTTATTCCTTCGCCATAAAAAGCAAAGGAGAATATTGTAGCTTCGTTGATTGTAGTCCATAACTTCACATCGTCCCCAAACTCTCTGAAGCATATATCTGCAAAAGCAGTGAAGTCTTCTCTGCAATATAACAAATAAACAACATTGTTTATTTTCTGTTCATATTTTAAAAAGTGACTTTGTTAGATCATAATCTTCTTTGATCCTTTACATTATCTTGCGGTTGATCCATCCTCCATACTCATCTTCAAGAGACTGAGGAAGATCGTAGTGGTAAAGTGTAACGTGAGGTTCGATTCCTGTTAATAGTATTGCCAAAAGATTTGTCAGAAGCTATTAATTGGCTTTAGTTGCGACTTGCGACAAAGTAGTAAGACAAAAAACCTCACCATGGCTTCGTAGTTCTTTGATGAGGTTCTTGTAAAACAATAGACCTTTTGGGTTAATGGGTCCTCTTCCATCTGAAAAATTAACACAGACAAAAAGGGTTTAAAGAGGTTAGGAACTATATCGTTAGTTACATGCAAATCAAGAAAACAGGAAGAGGCATTTACTAGGTATAAGTCTTGACCAGGAGATGGAGAATCTGAATGCTTCTAAGCCTATATCAGCCATCAGCTTAACATCTTCCTGCAAAAGTCACAATAACATTGAATTTGAGAAAAACAGAGCCGATAACTTCTTAGACAAGTAACAGGCAAAGAAAAGAGAGTAACCTTGTATTTGTGATATCCATCACATGCTATATCTCCATTACTTCCATTATCTGCAATTTTTGAAGTAAAAAAATTTCTCATATAAACGCCGAACAATGACTCAAAATTTAAACAAAACAAAAAGCTTACGACAGTGGGAGCTTGTATCCCAGACGCTAGGAGTTCTTCCGTCTTCATCAACAGCACCTTCCCACTATTCCCACAAATCCCCCAAAAAACTCAAATTTTAGAAAAAACAAATAAAAATGGAAAAAAACAAATTGCCATTGATGTAGCAGACTTGAACCTGATAAGCAGAAGTAGCGGCTCCGAAGAGGAAATCCTCTGAAAAATCGGTTCTGGTGAAGGCATCAATGTAGCTTGTCGCCAAAACGATAGCCAGAATAATGGAAAACAGATAGAAATGTTTCATCTTTTATTTTCTTCCGCTAGTTTGAGTCCAAATGAATAAATAATTGAAGGGTCCTGTTAGTGTTCAGTCGTTTTCTTGGACCATTAAAAAAGAAATACATAATTGAGTGAAGTGTATTTTGGTAAATTGTGAGGACTATAGTCTATATAGATATCTTTTCTATTCTCTTCCACTCGTAATACGCGACAAATATACAAATATACGCGACAAATTTCTCGTAACGTTGAAATTTAAGCCTTTACTGTCTTTGTGACTTTTGTCAGTTTTATGATTGTGTTCGAGTTTCGAGAATCTATATATGCTACTCTTGTTGGTCTCAAAAGCTACATCAATTCATTATTCATATGCAAATCTTATCAACCCATTTTCCAACTCATTGAGTTTGTTTCATACGATAGATGAACTCAAACTCAAACCAAACCAAACCATGATGCTTTAGTTTAAATACATTAGAACGAAGAAGAGCCAGAGAATTTTCTCTGCAACTGAATAGTATCTTGAGAAGAAACATCAATTGTACCATTGAGAAAACCAGAATACCAAGAAGCAGAGAGCTTTGGAGACCTCTTGCGACCAGGATCGCTGAAATTCACATAATACATTCCGAAGCTGGTTGTATATCCACTCAATAACTCATACACATCAATCATCGACCATACAAAGTAACCTCTCGTGTCCGATCCATTCCTGATCAGTCAAAAGATTTGTCACAAAGACAGAGTCCAAGTAAACCGGGATATCAGACCATTTCAAAAGATAATATGAGGACTAAAAGATGAAGAAAGAGAATCATACTTGATGGCGTTGAGCACTGCACCAATGTAGCCTTGAATGTATTCAACTCTTGGTGTGTCTTGTAGCATCGAATCGTGTTTCATCGGTTTACCTGTTTTTGTTTTTTGGTGCGATTTGAAGAATCTTAAGAACAAAAAGTGTGCTTTCAAGTAGACAAAACAGAGCAAGAAGACAAAATAGAATAAAGTGTACCATTTTCAAGAATGTAGATTGGAGGATTGTTATAGCTTTGCTTTAGATGCTCAAGAACACCTTCAAGACCCCATGGAGTAGCCTCCCACTTCAAGAAAAGCAATTGTATAAGGAAAATCTCCAGATTCAAGAGGACCAAACAATAGTTTTTGGCATATATATATATAAAAATTCTGCAGATTTGTAGGACTAGGACCTTACCTCGAATAATGAAGAATTCCCAGTGGCTGTCCAAAGAAGAAGAGTTATCAGTGAAAAGAGTTGAGAAGCTTTTTGACTGATGATGAAAACAAACTTAGCTTACAGATCATATATACGCCCATGTCTTTAAAGAAGCCTTGGTTCATGATGGGAAAGATTGAAGCTGAGGCTCGATTTGTGACATAAAATGTTGTGTAGTGAATAATTCCTACAAAGTCAGATGATCCTTTAACTTGCTCTGACTCTTCCTCCGAGAAAACCGGTAATCTTGATCCCAAGGTTCTTTTCATTTCACTCGGATAGTCCCCAAATACCAAAGGCTTCAGCATCCTGAATTATTAATTTAGTCTTCAAAAATTTTGTCCTTAAGTTACTGAAAGAAAGAAAACTTATTCCTCACCAGCCAAAGAGGAAATCTTTAGCTCTTTGAGTTGCGATTTCATCGTCCTTGGAGTTTGTGTAAGGAGATAAGCCGAATGCAAATATACTAAGGCCTATGGATCCTCTCTGCTTACTCTGCACCATCATATGAATTATGTTCATACGGATTTAAGAGTGAAGAGGATATTTATATTTATACCTTGTACTTTAGTCTATACAATTTTGAAGAAGAGGCATGAGCTAGCAACATGTTATGCCCTGCAAGATATGGTTCTGTAGAAGAATTTCCAGTAGAGCAATTGATGAATTTGTTGGGACTACAATGTCCAGGCGGCGTGAGTCCTTCGCCATAAGACGCAATGGCGAATATTGTAGCTTCGTTGATTGTAGTCCATAACTTCACATCGTCCCCAAACTCTCTGAAGCATACATCTGCAAAAGCAGTAAAGTCTTCTCTGCATATAACAAAATAAACAACATCCTTTATTTTCAATTCATATTAAAAAGTGACTTTGTTAGATCAAATCTTTTGTTATCCTTTACATGATTTT